CGGGAATCGAACCCGAGACCCCAGGATTACAAGGCCAGCGTTCTAACCGCTAGACCACCGTGGCACGGTTCTTAAGTGTTACGACATGAAAATTATGTCCTACTGTTTCTAAAATACAAACACAAATACTCTCACCGTTTTCGTTCGATCCGTCTTCTGTCTGATACGCTGACAAAGCAGTCCCAAAGCGGAATCCAGAAGGAAACTTGTAGCTTGGTGTTACGCGTCTGTCCTGGAGAGACAGCTAATCCTTGCCACTCGTTAGCCTCGACTCAACACGTTCGGTAGCTGTTGACTTATACATCACAAGTGTCTGGCATTTGGTTCTTGTTGTTGTTGTTGTTGTTGTTGTTGTTGTTGTTGTTGTTTCTTGTTCCATGAATATTATATGACTTGCGCCACTCAGATATCTTCATGTTAGGCTAGAAGGTATCCAAATCGATAAGAAAACGTAAATTGCAAAATCAAGTTACGTTCACGCTTGAGCGACGACGTGTGTGTGAAATGATGTTACGTTAACAGGATATGAGAGTGTGAGCTTCATTCAAGTAGATGAGGGTGGCAGGATCATATGATCACCTACAGAAAGACGATTCTAGTCCATAAACTTATTTCGTTGCAACAGATTAGCCAAAATATATTTTTTTTTGTAAATTACATTCGTTTCAATAACGTTTTAATATAGAGACGAGACTTAAAATGTATTACCGATTTCAATCAATTCATTACGGGAGGATAAAATTCACGGGAATCAATAAATCGATTATCGTTCTACGTGATATTGTACAATACAGTCCTGTTTTAACTTATGACATCACACAAAATAGTTTTGTATTAATGTTTGAATCTACGTTATGTTCTCAGTGTAAGTTCTGACAACACGTTAATAAAATAAGACTACATAACAAAGATTAGAATACAATTGAACAGTAATAAATGTCAATATTTCAAACACAAGTATTATAATTAAGATTCATACAAAGTAAAGCGAAAGGCTTGAGAATCTACACAAGCAAATATTAATGAATGGAAGAGGAATTAGTAAAAATATAGGAAAGAAGGAATATTATTATATGTATCGAAATTCTGAGTGCTTTAAAAATATTAAAATTAAAGAAACAAATATTATGTTAACAGATATATTTTACGTTGTCTCTTCCATAGAAATTTAATCTGAAGAAATGAGTTTCACAAATCTGGTACACAGGTTACTAAAGTAAATACATGTTCTGACGCAATAGTGCATAATACATTTCCATGACTACAAATACTATTAAAGTGATGTATATGTTATCATAATATTAAAGAAGTAGGTTGTTTCTTATGTTCTGAGCTACTGCCTTGTGGGACTTCCTCTATGTCACTTATACACCTAAAGTTGAACGTAATTTTACCTTTGAAGCCGAAATTCGTCTAAATTATATTTAAGAATCCAGTCCGTACCGCGAAGAAAACACAACATTTCACCATTACACAGATCAACTGGTTAACGCTGTTTAAGGAAATAATGGACATTTATTCTGATAATTAACCATTTGAAGCCGAAGCTCGTCTAAGTAACATTTAATATAATTCAGTCCGTACCGCGAAGAAAACACTACACTTCACCATTACGATGATCAACTGGTTAACGCTGTTTAAGGAAATAATCGCTGATTACACTGAGAATCAGACGAAAGACACAAATGCAAAACGCAGATTTACAGACAAATCATATGGTACGTTTAATTACCACAAGGATTTTAAGGTGTTTTTCTAAATACATTATTTTCGTAGCTTTATACACTTTTCTCCTCCCCTAGTGGGTCTCATTACTCGCGGTATGTGTGTGCATACTACTGCTGTTAAAGCACTATTATAATCTTCATTCTTAGGACTCGTTAAGTTGAATCAGCACTGCAAAATACTTGTACGCGACGTTCATAATCTGCAACAGGATCGGTATATTAATTCATGGATTATTTTACGACATTTCTACTAGCCCTGATTTATTTATTTGTAGTGTTCTGTCTGACGACATGTCCATATGAACAGGATCCTTCCATCCTTTTCTCGGACTGGGACCTGTTCATATACGTTCTTGGCAGATGATCCAGAAGTGGTTTGCCATTGCCTTCTTCTGTGTGTGAATGGAGTAATTGTTGGGATGCCACGAAGGAAAACTCCGTGTTGCCTAGACCACGGCCTTGCCCAACACAAGTTATAAATTCGGGCACCGCCGGGAATCGAAACCGAGACCCCAGGATTACAAGGCCAGCGTTCTGGTTAATTAATGAATTGGAAAAATCATGGAGGAAACAGTCGTGGAAAAATTTAAGGTCCTTACTGTTCATTAATCATCGTATGATTAAATGATTAGCTACTATTAATAAATACTAATTTATACAACAAAAACAATTGGTGTGACCGGAAATAAAGTTACCCACCGAAGTAAATGTGTCGAAAGACATGTCATAGAACACTCCAACCTTCACCTTTACCGGCCTCGAAGCCCTCATGATGGCTAGAAGTAAGAGGCGCTTAAATCCTGGCTTCTGGTTGTACCAATCTGTGCTGTATAATGCAGTCGCCACCTCCTCGCTCTGTAGACGGAGCTAACATTAACATCCAGGTACGTCTTATGTTTCATATTAGACACTGTGAATATTGTAAGATATATTTGATATACGTTAGAATGAAATTAGTAAGAGTGTAAAATTTCACCCCGAATTAGCCAAATTTAAACAAAAAATCGCTCACTGGCTTCAGGAACATTTCTTGCAGATACAGATTTGTTACCATGGAGACACGTAACCCTCTGAATACAAAATATGTTCACTGAAACAGCGGTCTGAGGCTTCGGGTGGAACGAGAATGTAGTGTTGGTGCTATGGACTTGACTGTACCTTGTTGGTCATTTGCTGTCCAAACCAGGAATAGGAAAATATATGGTACAATGCCGCAACCGACAGGGAACAGAACTTGAAGAATTGCTCGTGTCTGTCGAAAGTCTGAAACGCAGTGAAAATAATGATACCGGCTACTTTTATTAATAACTATTACAGAGGTAAGTCATTCCTAATTAAAGAAGTACAAGACCCTTCGTTATGGGTAATTCGTTTTCAAGTTTATCTCCAGAATGTTTTGCATTTATTTGTGAATGAACCTTCCATGCGGTAACTTTGCCTTGCGAAACGTATACAGACTCAAAAGAGACTGAAATCCGATGATACCAGAAACATCTACACTCAAATATTAAACTGATAGTACACTTTGTCACCTGACGGCTTGGATGATGCAGAGAGTACATTCTGCAACTGATTTCTTATGCACATAAAATAGTTTGTCTTTATTCTGTGTACCTGTGTCATCTGAAATCCTGTCACGCATAATATGATAGGCAGGTTCATTATCTGCAGGAATACCACAATGCTCACTACGTCGCTTATACGCCCAACGAAGCTGAAAAACGTGTACACACACAGTTTAATGAAATGGAACAGAACACTTAGCAGGCGAAGTACTGACGCCTTGTGTGAGTACTTCGCTCAGTATTTTAATGTGCACTGACGAACACGTTGTACCTTCGTCAGTGAACATTGCAAAACTCAAAGTATTACTTCTTCCTACATCGATCTTAATATTGAAACAACTTTATTCATTTATAATGGATCATCTGGAACATTTCTGTCTGACGACGCACATTTAAATTACTCTAATTTTTCTTCAGGAACTACTAGTCGCTGAGATGTTCGCCTTCTTTTGAAACGCGAAAGTTAATTACCGTGTTCACATCAGCTTACAACTAATTATCCTGTGTCAGTTGAAACCAGTCAAGATTTTCACACTCTAATTCATTTTATTTATTTATTTAGTGTTCTGTCTGACGACAGGTCCGTATGAACAGGATCCTTCCATCCTTTTCTCGGACTGGGACCTGTTCATATACGTTCTTGGTAGATGATCCAGAAGTGGTTTGCCATTGCCTTCTTCTGTGTGTGAATGGAGTAATTGTTGGGATGCCACGGAGGAAAACGCCGTGTTGCCTAGACCACGGCCTTGCCCAACCCAAGTTATAAATTCGGGCACCGCCGGGCATCGAACCCGAGACCCCAGGATTACAAGGCCCGCGTTCTAACCGCTAGACCACGCAGATGATCCAGAAGTGGTTTGCCATTGCCTTCTTCTGTGTGTGAATGGAGTAATTGTTGGGATGCCACGGAGGAAAACGCCGTGTTGCCTAGACCACGGCCTTGCCCAACCCAAGTTATAAATTCGGGCACCGCCGGGCATCGAACCCGAGACCCCAGGATTACAAGGCCCGCGTTCTAACCGCTAGACCACGCAGATGATCCAGAAGTGGTTTGCCATTGCCTTCTTCTGTGTGTGAATGGAGTAATTGTTGGGATGCCACGGAGGAAAACGCCGTGTTGCCTAGACCACGGCCTTGCCCAACCCAAGTTATAAATTCGGGCACCGCCGGGCATCGAACCCGAGACCCCAGGATTACAAGGCCCGCGTTCTAACCGCTAGACCACGCAGATGATCCAGAAGTGGTTTGCCATTGCCTTCTTCTGTGTGTGAATGGAGTAATTGTTGGGATGCCACGGAGGAAAACGCCGTGTTGCCTAGACCACGGCCTTGCCCAACCCAAGTTATAAATTCGGGCACCGCCGGGCATCGAACCCGAGACCCCAGGATTACAAGGCCCGCGTTCTAACCGCTAGACCACGCAGATGATCCAGAAGTGGTTTGCCATTGCCTTCTTCTGTGTGTGAATGGAGTAATTGTTGGGATGCCACGGAGGAAAACGCCGTGTTGCCTAGACCACGGCCTTGCCCAACCCAAGTTATAAATTCGGGCACCGCCGGGCATCGAACCCGAGACCCCAGGATTACAAGGCCCGCGTTCTAACCGCTAGACCACGCAGATGATCCAGAAGTGGTTTGCCATTGCCTTCTTCTGTGTGTGAATGGAGTAATTGTTGGGATGCCACGGAGGAAAACGCCGTGTTGCCTAGACCACGGCCTTGCCCAACCCAAGTTATAAATTCGGGCACCGCCGGGCATCGAACCCGAGACCCCAGGATTACAAGGCCCGCGTTCTAACCGCTAGACCACGCAGATGATCCAGAAGTGGTTTGCCATTGCCTTCTTCTGTGTGTGAATGGAGTAATTGTTGGGATGCCACGGAGGAAAACGCCGTGTTGCCTAGACCACGGCCTTGCCCAACCCAAGTTATAAATTCGGGCACCGCCGGGCATCGAACCCGAGACCCCAGGATTACAAGGCCCGCGTTCTAACCGCTAGACCACGCAGATGATCCAGAAGTGGTTTGCCATTGCCTTCTTCTGTGTGTGAATGGAGTAATTGTTGGGATGCCACGGAGGAAAACGCCGTGTTGCCTAGACCACGGCCTTGCCCAACCCAAGTTATAAATTCGGGCACCGCCGGGCATCGAACCCGAGACCCCAGGATTACAAGGCCCGCGTTCTAACCGCTAGACCACCGTGGCTGATACTCTGATCCATAAAGAACCATTTTAATATTATCATCCATCTACGGCTAGGTCTTTTGTGCGTATTCCTTGCAAGTTTTTCGATTAGAATTTAATATTCATTTCTCGCCTCTTCCATGTATGCTACACGTCCATCCATCCTTACCGCTGCATTTGATCAAAATAATAATATCTGACGAACGCAAGTTTCGAAGTTCTTATTACGCAGTTTTATCCAGACACATCTTAGGTAAAAATGTTTTCTTCCGCGCTCTCGTCTCAAACAGACTCAGGCAATGACACAAATTCCACACTCATGTAAAACAAGAGACAAAATTGTAGTTATATTTCAATCTGTAAGTGTTTTTTAGAAATGAGTGAACGTGTTAATTTAATTTGCTCGTAAACTGTTCATGTTCGTTCTTTAGTTTATTTTTAATTCTTAAGTTCTAAGAATGCATTAGATTCCTTACGCACAAAATACAAGCCTAACTGCAAATTATACAAATTATGAAATAATTTAAGAAAAAGTCAATATCTTCAAAAGAAATATGTCTCTGTTCTGGAACTAACAATGCCTATGACATGATCATTTATGGCTCATGTTAAATTATCGCTAATTAAACAGTGGAACGAATGACTGACAAAAGAATGATATTTGGAAATATGTCGCACTGGTTTGTAATACACCTGTATCTGACAGGAATATGAGATTAACTTACTTAATCATACTTTCGTGATGTTTAATACAGTTTATGAGATATCGTTGGAATTTATCTTCATCCAAATTATCGGGTTCATTAAAATGGCGTAACAACTCCGAACAGTGACCATTTCTAGATTCTTCGTCTGTCTCGTTGTCAAAGACCTTTCCTCCGTCAATGGCGCTGTTTGCAGAAAATGCTGTTTCTATGGCTGTTAATTCATTGTCGCTAATATTCTCATGCATGTCGTTCAACATTGCTACCAAGATATTAAACTGTGCAGCTGAGTGACTCATCAGAGACAACACCAAAACAGAGAGTGTGTAAGACGTTACTACGCCAATACACACGAAGCAAATTTGAAATACACTAAATATTTCAAATTGAGGCGACTGTTGAACATCAAATGGTGTCCACATCACGAAAACCATCTTATCAACATTCTGTTCTGTTTTAGTAACATTGTTTGTTTCCATATTGGAAAACTCGTTCATGTTTATGACGGTAGCTACTCCCCATGAGAAACTACAGCACACAACTACAGGGCTTGAGAGATACAAATAAACAACTACCTGACTATCAGCTTTCTTAATTAGATTCATATACTTTGATTTGGTTGTGGCCACAAATTTATCTCTCATTATATCTACCAGCATCAAAATCTTTTCCTTGTTGATCACGAAATACGCACAGCTGATAAATGCCACAGCGAAACCATTCATTACCCCAACTATGGCAGAAATTAGCTCCAAATTTCCCCAGTACACAACAACTGCAAGCACCTGCCCTAGCAATATTAATACATCCATTAACATTACGGCTGCTATGAACATTTTGTAGATGAACTTCATCAATGGTCCAGCACGAGTAGGAGGTAGAAGACCGAATATATTAAGCAGGATGAAGTTAAGTCTCATAATCTCAGGATATTCTTCGACATGAACGATGATATCTCCTGTTTCTGGATTCTGCTTATGTTGGTCTCCTGTTGGATGCATTTTGCTTCAAAATATTCGATGAAACCTGGCAACAAAATTTTAATCGATTTCGAGGAAACTCAAGTGTGGATAGGCAGAAAAGAAAATTATGAAATACAGACTATGCCTTAACCAAAATTTTTTATGATGTTTTAAGAATCAGAAAATCTGTACTTCGATCAGGTGCACCTTGCATTTGTATCATACTCCAATGTACTCTGCGTCGTGTTTAACACCTCACGCGTGGACAGTTATCTAAAGTAATGTTTCCCTTACTCCAACTTCTCTGTAATTTTAATACCAGCAATTACTTACTTTTGAAACTGAAAATAAAGTCTAATTTTGGTTTTTCACCTTACCTTCGTCAGACCAAATGAACAACTGCCTTTATAAATTCCAATATATCTCTTTTTCGACAATAAACTAAATACCAAATACAAGCCAGTTCTCTAACACTTATAGAGCATGGCTCACTTACGTAACAAGACTCAATTAATTTTCCTGCCTTTCTTTGAAAGTATGAATAAATATTTTAGCTATGGGTTGTAACTCTCAATTAAATTTCCACGATATTTCGTCAAAATTCGGAGTAATGGACGTGGTTATACATCTGGTAGGGACAATCATGATTCATGTTAATGATGATGGACAATCGTCACACTCACCTCAAATCCTACATAAGTCATGTAGACGTTTAGGTAGATATCACATTTTGAAGAAACAAGGTTTCAGCTCCGAAGATGGAGACAGTATGTTTCTCCAAAGCGCTGGCATTTACCGACGAGTCCACATGGCGCCAAAATCCAGCAGTCTTCATCGCCGTCAGAACCTCTATCTCACACGCGTGACGTCATCACGTCTTAAACCACTGAATCATTTCGTCCTTTTAAGGGTTACGTACTTTCATGAGTAATTAAGCAATGATTTAGTTGATTTGTGTTGACAGACACAGTTGCTATACAAAAACGGTAAACAATCTCTGATAACTAGATTTGCCGCTAGAGTGCGTCATAACGCGTACAAGGTCAAAACGTGATTTTGTATCCACACCGCGGCAAATATGAAATTGGCTGTATTCTGGATCGTTGTGCCCGACGTTTCAGAGACGCCTGCTCCCCCCCCACACATATAATCACCCTGATGATGGAGACAGTAAGCGAAAATTTTTTTGCTACAGTACACGGCTCAACAACCCAGATTTAGAAAGTGGTTCTTAAATATTTCTTCCAATATTTTATGAAATTCGGGATCCCGTTTATGCCGTAATTTCAATAAAAATATATTTATTATGGAAATGAGTGGAATGATGTAAACTGTAAACTTCCTTTCAACAGTGTACAAACTTTTTGCCACTCACAAGAAAGAAAACCTGTCATAATTACTTAACGCTGTTTGATGATTAATTAAAGAAGAGTCCTCTTTTTGTACATTGTAATTATTACAGCGTTCGGGAGCGGTAACACGAAATGTATCTTACATAATTGTAACAGTGGCTTAGACCTTTAAAGTACACTTAAATATGTCTCAATGAATAAAAAACATAATTACAGGGTATAATATTGAAGGACGAATATCTTGATTCGTTATGGGTTCATAGAAATACACAAGACACAAAATTTTAATGAATCTGGGAATACTTAAAAAATGTACACTTGTGAGTCAGTTGTAAAAAAAATACTAACGAACCTTCTGAAGTATGCTGCAATAATATTACGTGTTTTTCTGCTTTTAACTAACACAATAGCATCCACAGTTCTCACAGGACTGCCCTTAATGTGCGTGTGTCTCTTTGCAAAATCCGTAACCCGAGAACTCGAAACGTAATTATGATTCGAAGGCGTTTACATTTGCTCATGTTTAAGTATCCCAAACACTCATTTATAAACGTACTTAAAAGCACGTGGGTTCTAGCCCACGGGCTTAGAAAATAAAATATTTCGTGCGTATAAAATTGCATTAGTGATATTATCACCTGATTTAATAACCTAACCTAACCTAAACTTGTTTTTCTGCAGCACGACTTGAATCCTCGGATACAAAAGTCGGAGTTTTTATTATGTTTGCATACTTCGTTAGAATATTTGCGAATTAAGTCCCACAACCCTGAAAAAAAGAAAGATATAAAATACAGTTTTATCTCGCTTTATTAATACGTCATTCTTTAACGTCCTTGAAGTTTTGCTGTGTTCGTATTACTCGCAGCTGCAAGTTAAAACGTACAAACGTATGACTGACTTTCAGAGGCATGCTGTCCATACCAAATTTTTTTATAAAAAATCCGTCAGTGGTTCAAAATGTACTACGAGATCATACATATATATTAACTAACTAACTAGATGGCTTAGGGAAACCGAAGGTTCATCACCGAACTAACCAAAGCCCTCCACCGGACCCTGTCCTGGGCCAACAAAATCCAGTCTCCTTCAACTCCTATCTCCCATAGATCCCGCCTGAGATTATCCTCCCATCTACGTCTAGGTCTCCCCAGAGGTCTCTCCCCCTCAGGCTTCCTCCCGCCTGAGATTATCCTCCCATCTACGTCTAGGTCTCCCCAGCGGTCTCTTCCCCTCAGGCTTCCCAAATAGTGGACCCAACTAACTAGATGCCTTACGGAACCCGAAGGTTCATCACCGAATTAACCAAAGCCCTCCACCGGACCCTGTCCTGGGCCAACAAAATCCAGTCTCCTTCAACTCCTATCTCCCATAGATCCCGCCTCAGATTATCCTCCCATCTACGTCTAGGTCTCCCCAGAGGTCTCTTCCCCTCAGGCTTCCCAAATAGTGGACCCAACCAACCAGATGGCTTAGTGAACCCGAAGGTTCATCACCGAATTAACCAAAGCCCTCCACCGGACCCTGTCCTGGGCCAACAAAATCCAGTCTCCTTCAACTCCTATCTCCCATAGATCCCGCCTGAGATTATCCTCCCATCTACGTCTAGGTCTCCCCAGCGGTCTCTTCCCTTCAGGTTTCCCAACCAACACCCGGTGCACATCTCTTGTCCCATCCATGCGCTCTGCAGGGGATTACAGCGCTAAGGGAAGGACACTGAGATTATTATGGTCTTTGGTATGGATAAGCTGACATTGCCTTATCCAAGATTTCATCCAATCATTTTGTCTAAAAAAAAATGAATAATGGCTAAACACGCACTATGTAAAATACATGCGCATTAAATAACTCCATCGAGGAAAGAATTTTACGAGAAGTTATATACCCTCACACACAACCCATTTTTTAAACATCCATTTTAATATTATTCTCAAACGTTAATCTCTTCCCTTGAGATTTTATACTAAAAATTTTGTATAAATTACTCATCTCTTACCAATCTGCTGTAAAAATTTGTTTCAGGGAAATTATCTTTATAACAAGTAATCATACGTAAGCCGCTTTCGCCAATTAAATTACAGCCTGCTACTTAGGAGCTAAAGTACCCACACCTTCTGACAGAGATCCAATCTCACGAGATGTTTACAAGAGGATACGAGTAGCTATATAAGTCTCTGTAGTAAAGAATCAGACGGATTATTCATTAAGAAAGAACTGCAGATATGAGGTCTCTGTTTCTCTGTCTCGTTGCTGTGACCGTAGAAACTCACGGGTTCAAAAACTACACGTTTCCAGCTGACTTCATGTTTGGTGCAGCAACAGCATCTTACCAGATCGAAGGAGCCTGGAATCTCAGCGGTAAGTTCAGCTCCACTGCACGTGTTCTCTTACGCGTCTAATATCTCCGGCACAAATTTAAGATTAATCTAATTAAACTAATTTTGTGAGAGACAAATACAAATGTTACCAAAACCGACCTCCCCAATGACTAAGATTTACAATCCGACAGGCTACAGGCCCAAACCCATCTAATATAGTCTTTCAGACGCTAGGTTGTGTTGTGATGTTCGTTTCAGGAAAGGGTGTGAATATCTGGGACACTTTAACACACGATAACCCTGAGTTTATAATAGATCGCTCAAATGGAGACACGGCTGCAAATTCCTATTTTATGTACAAGGAAGACGTTCAACTGCTGAAGCAGATTGGTGTGAGTATGGTATTTCACATACACTAGATTTATTAAATGCCAAAGTTGAAATGTGTAATCGTCTAGTTTATTTAAATGTCTTTATTTCATTCAGTAAAACAATAAATTTATTGTTACAGGCCGATTTCTATAGGTTCTCGGTTTCATGGGCGCGAATCCTACCAACCGGACAAATTAATATCGTCAATCAGGCTGGCATTGATTATTACAACAGACTTATAAATGAGTTGTTAGCAAATGGAATTAAGCCTATGGTATGTATAATTCGCTTTCTGTAACTACTAATTATGGATTAGGGAAAATACATTCTATATTTATAGTTATATTTCCAAACAGCGTAAAAAAGACGACATTTTAGATGCACACGGCGTGTTCTTATGTGACTCACCGGGGCGTCGAAAATATTGACTGGATTCAGCTGAATTTTGTGAACATGGTAATGGACATTCGGGTTACGAAAAATTAATAAATGTGTAAACCAGCAGAATGTTTAGAAACTGCTTCATAAAGGCCCTTTTATTGTAGAGTTAAAGTTTATTTGAATTTTAGGTAACCATATTTCACTGGGATTTACCCCAGAAGCTACAGGACCTCGGAGGAATGCCAAATATATTAATAGCAGACATCTTTACGGATTACGCTCGTCTGCTGTTTGAAAATTTTGGAGACAGGGTGAGGAAAGGTAGACTACGCATGCAGTATGCATTGCACCATTTTTCATGCTTTTAATTACATGAGACTGTTTTCCATTGCTTGGAATGCGTATTAAATTAAAATAATGATGCAGTTAAATATTCAAAACTTGATTTTAATCTATCACTTGTACTAAAAATTATGTAAGTGTTGGATAACTGATGTTTAAGGAATAATTGGATTATTACAACTATGCCAATGCATATAACACATTCTACATACGCTGCTTTTAAATTAATATAAAAACACCTGCAAAAATTAATCTCTGTAATTTATCCCAAAGTTATTATATTAAAATTTTTAATTTGAAAAATCGATACGTGTAAAAATATGTTAATTTAATTAATATTTTTAAGGCAATGCCACCAAAAGTGACTAAGTGATAAACGAGCCAATATATATTACTTTATGTGTATAATAATAATAATAATCATATTTTTAGGTGAAGTGGTGGATCACATTCAACGAACCTGCAGTATTTGTCACTGGTTACGCCACTGGTAAGGGCTTTGCTCCCAGCGTGAACGCTTCTGGTATTGGGGACTACATGTCAGTCCACACCATAATTTTGGCGCACGCCAAAACTTACCGCATGTACGAACGAGATTTCCGGCCGAAACAGCAAGGTAAAGATCAGTAACCTAGCCATAGGTACGGCCATGTTATGAAAAATATTTGTCCAAAACCCGAAATTCAATACAAATTACAGCCGCCTTGCTTGACTGTTACAAAATGTAAGACAAAACGAAGTAATTATAAACAAAAGAATATTTTTTTCCTGTAAATTACAGCAATGCATTAAACATACAATGCTATTTAAATAACAAATTCATTATGCACAGCATTTTAAAAGTTTAGTCTAATATAGTCATTTCATTTAACATAATTAAATAAAACTAATTATACATTACTTTTATATGATAAGTTTTTAACAAAGTTAACTAGGATAATCGAAACGTTAGCCTAGATTTAGTAATGCAGATTTTATACTTAATTTCATTTTGCTTAATCCTTTGCAGGAAAAGTTAGCATAACGCTAAACTCAAGATGGCATGAACCCCGATCAAATTCCACTGAAGACGTCGAGTCATCTGAGCGGGCTATGCAGTTCTATGTAAGTTCACTTGCACTCGTAACGTATCATTATCGTGTTCAGAACAGCTCATAAGTTGTTGTCGTCCACGGCATCATATCCATTTTAATATTATCTTCTCAAGCTCTATAGGTCTCCCAAATGGTCTCTTCCCAGGTTTTATTAATAACAATTTGTTTTTTCCATTCCCATGCGTGTTACATGTACAGCTCATCATACACTCCTGGGTAGAAAATAGGAAATTTAGCGATTCTGTACTGATTATTATAATGTTTACCCGAATGTAATCTGTTTTAATTTCCTCTTCAATGCAATTTCGATTTGTTACTGTTGTTTATAAGTAATTTTAAAAATGTAAATTCCACATTTAAAATTTATGCTGAGACCAATGTGACAATCTTATTGATAATACAAATCGGCTGATTATTGTTTCTGAAACATAATCGTTCATCTGATCCGTTGTATGGAGCGTTTCAATCACGCGGGATTTAGTAATTTCCTTCAAAATATCAAAAAACTTATAATTTTACATAACCTTTAGAGCAGCGTCTGAATAGAGCTGGTACGAGGTACTGACACACAGCAAACAAGTGTCTCCTTACGAGCCGAAAGAGAAAAGTATTTGCTTACATAAAACCACTTTTAAATCTTTTCAGCTCGGTCTGCATGCTCACCCCATCTTCAGCCAGAAAGGGGACTATCCACGACTGGTAAAGGAAAGGATCGCGAACAACAGCCTCGCTGAGGGCTTCTTCAGGTCGCGTCTTCCAAAGTTCACTGAACAAGAGATCGCTTACATACGAGGTACTGAATTCAGACTTTCAGCGAGTGCCTGGAACCCAAGGTATTCAAATGTGAAGAACGAAAATTCGATGGGAATAAAACAGCTGTTCACGAATTTAAATAAATTACAAGCTAATAATTAACGATAAGAGACCAAAATTACCATCCAGGCAAAATATATGGAGACTATTTGTGTTAAGAATAATATTAGACGTAAAATTAAAGCGCTATTTTATAAATATTTCTTTTATAAACATATATTTACCTTACCTTCCCCATAAAATCAGTCTCTGTAATGTAAACACTTGTAATATTTGAAGGTCTAACGGCGGTAAAGAGCTTGCAGAAACATACTGCCTCCATCTTCAGGGCTAAATATTAAGACAACGTATTCCTCTGAAACGCCGGTATCTACCTACAAGTCCATATGACGTTACAACCCAGAAGATTAAAATCAACGTGTGAAAACTTTACATATTTTGAAACTTATACACAGAACAGCTGTTGTTGTAACGATCATTACTCTAATATAAATAAAATGCATTTTACCTGTTAAAGGGACATTCGATTTTTTCGGACTAAATCACTATTCGACGTCTTTAACCTCGCCTGGGTTCTCCGGGTCCCAGATGCCGTCTCTCGAAGGTGATGTCTCGGTAAGGAGACTGAATGACCCGAAATGGATTGCAACAGGAGGTGAAAGCAGAAAGGTAAACGAATAAAACCACGAGAGTCATTACTTTTGGAATTTTTCACCTTGTAAATAACAAATGTCTGAAGCAAGGATAAAAGGTAATTTTATTGAATTCGTTTTCTAAAAATCTTCCATAAAATCTTTCAAAATAGTGAATTTAAGAAAACTTCTTTTCCATTGAATCTCTCGGGAGAGAAACAGATGTTACTTTTGAAACAAAGAATTTTCTTTTGCTATCCCGGAATTTTCCTGGACGGACAGGGATTCAAACCCAGGACCTTCCGAATATGAAAAACTGATGCAAATCTCAGAAGTGCGAAGTTGTTACGTCTTATCTGTCGCTTGTCCAAACCCAGCGTTTGGATCACTGCACAGGTTGTGCCGTGGGGGTTTCGGAAACTACTGAATTGGATCAGGAAGGAGTACAACAATCCACCTGTGTTCATAACCGAGAACGGTGTCGCGGACAAGGAAGAGTTCGAGGACCTCCTGAGGGTGTACTACCACACTGTAAGTCTACTTCAACAAAAGCATTAGGCTAAGACGGCGAAGATGACTGTTTTCCTTGATGCTTGAGTGACCGACGTTTCAGAGGTGCATCCATCATCAGGTCGATCGACACAAACGTTCCAGAAGACAGTCACCTTCATCAAACAATTTCTTGTAGCTGCGATGTAAACTTCTTTATGTCTTCCTATTCCAGGAATTAAAACGAGAAGCTGAGAATAGGGAAAACTGGAGAGCTCTGTTTGGGCAGAGCAATGGACCTGTCGTAAGACAGAACACTGAATAATAATAATAATAATTCCTTTCAGCACTATATGTACGAGATGCTGAAAGCAATGTTTGACGATGGCTGCAATGTGATCGGATACATCGCTTGGAGTCTCATTGATAATTTCGAATGGACTTCAGGGTACACGTAAGTATAAATATCACTTTTACGACGACTTCATGTCAACTCTTCATCAAGGGGCATACACCACTGAACATAATGTAGAACTTCTAACACTGCTAAACTATTTGTACGTACGCCTTGTGGGACAGGCAACTTCTCCGACACAGGTGTAAGGCATGTAGTCTAAACACTTATTTGCAGGCGTTACCTGAAAACAATTTTATCGCCTTACAAGTCAATGAATTCGAACACCGAGTTGGTAAAGTAATCTTTTGTGTTGTTCAGACGAATTATTCCGTTCAGCCGATGCTTTCCAATAAAATTACACGGAATTCACAGAAAAAATTTGTGCTGGAAACTAGGGTTTCGAAAGTGTCTAACAACTTCTCACAGTATACCACACATGGATTTTTACAGGATATGGGGGATATTATTAAAATGGAAATTAACAAAATGGAAATGGACGCCCGGCGTCGCGACGCCTTCTATCGCGACGCCTTCAAATAAAGCCAAATTCACATAAGATGTTTCAGATAACAGCGGGAAATCAATTTGAAAACCGACGCCGAGCATCGTGACGCCATCAAATGACGCGTAAAAATGGCGTCAAACCCGTTGTATTACGGTAGGCACGATCCTAGATAGTCGACGCCGATCAGAGGAACGAAACACGTCGTGGCGGTGGAGACGAAAAGTGGATACCGTTCAATACATACGGTCTAACCTAACCTATCCCAACCTAACCTAACAAAACCTAACCTAACCTAACCTTAGCGCAACCTAAAGCCACCGCAATGCTTGGCTCGCATCCAATAAGAATGACAGTGAGTAGACGCTAGCGATGCGACTCTAAATATGACGACGTCTTCGAAATACGCCAAACTTACCGCAGATAATTCCAAACAAGACAATATACGAAAGTGAAAA